ATGGCCCCACCAGTCCACGATCCCAAAACCTTCAGCTTACAAGATGCATCCGTTAACAATCCAACCACTGGAACGGAATCCAATGGACAATAAATTCTGATTTATGCTGATTCCCGATATATAGCGCCACTATCAGCCAATGTTTTAGAAAAGTATTCATGCTCATTTCCGACCTCCTAGACACAAATGGTCACAACTTCGCACTAGAACTCCTGGCATTTTCACCCTGTAGTCAGATGCTAGGGAGCATTGGGTAAATTTCCAAGTTTTCGTTTATGGGGACTTAACTGACTACGCGTTAGATGCGACAGTCTATTTTTCAATCTTAAGCATTATTCATCAAAGGACTAGTGCAGACTTTTTTTATACTTCTAGGTAAAATGGAATACCATTGTACCGATTTGTAGTATCACATTTCATAATTTACCATTTTTCTTAAACTTTCGAACTACACACACACAATTAAGTAAGCCAGCTTGGTTTGTTCATATTTTAACCCCGACATACTGTTAAGAAACTGTGTGTCTGATAACATGTTCTCACAAATCGATTTCCTTAGCGTTTGATGCTTTCTCATTTCCATTCAATCTGATTTCCTTTCAAAGTTATCTGTTCTGTAGTCGTTATATACATTTCTTAACTTCATTCAGAAATTACAGGATTTCTTCATGAGCTGACATTGGTTAGAGAACCATTGGTAAACCTGGGAGTACTGGACAGCTGTTTCCTCCGTCCTAGTTTGGGACTCTTCATCAGTACGCACCCACCGGGATTCGAACCCAGGACCTTTTGGTTACAAGGCGTGCTTGTAGACCATTAAGCCACTGGGACCCGATCCAATGGCCCATGAATTCTAACTTCTGCCAATTCACGACATAGCGCGACCACTAGCCAATGTCTTCGGCGAGTATTTGTCCTCACACCCGACCTGCCGCACCCTACTGGTCACGACTTCCCATTCATTCATTCAGGACTTGATACTTGATTCAATTTACATCTGAGGTGTGCTTAGGGCCAAAAACTGTGATAGTTAATAAACTTCGTAATGTATTCACTGTAGCTGATTAATCATTTTGATTGATTAGAATGAAATTCAGAGCACTCAATTTCATTTCACTACTGTGAGTCGAATAAATGTTTCAATGTAAAGTTTAATTATGTATCTGAAAAGAAGACACTCACTCTATGTTATCAAAGCTGTTGTGATATTCACTTTATAATTGATTTCAATTTAGTTAGTAACCACGTGAAAGATATTTGACAGCATTAATCGAACGAATGAGTCACTGAATCTTATTCATTCACCGATACACATACACACGATTGCTTAAAAATATAATTAGTAGTATGAAATGAAATTTAAACAAGTAGGCAACTAAGTATGCCTAATGTATCTCTCAACTGTTGAAATAAATTCTATTCAAGGATGTTTTTAATGTTTTGTGTTAGTATAATCTAAAATTAGTAGGCAAATGTGTAAGTAGTTTAGGCACCTTCTGTGTATTACTAGTGAATTATGAAACAGAAAGAGCGGGGTATGATCCATCTTTTACCCTAATTGTACTAGGAATGCTTACTTTGTTTATTTGAAAGGTAAATGGAGAAATATATAATAATTCAGTACTTAGTAAAGTGTTGATCACATCGAAATGAGTCACAATGTGTGCATGAACATAGCAACGAAATTGTAACACTTGAGCTTCAGTTTACTTTTCACTGATTCATGTGAATATCGGAGAACCAAACCAACATATGACTACTGGAAACATTTTTACTCAAGGAAAAAAATCATATGTATATGTAATATTGACACAGAAAAGCACCAGGCTGAAGATAAAATACTTGAATAGATTGCTTTCATGTAGCAACAAAAACTGAGAAATAAAATTATACAGAATCTGTAACAACAGAAGACAAGGGTCAGGCAACAGATCGTTTATTAAGGAAAATCAACACATATTTATAGATTTTAATGTACATTATTGTAGATTATTGTTAGTAGAAAATACAGTCTTTTGATTGGTTGTTTCCCACAGAAAGTTAACCTTGCATCTCTTTGTGGCTGTGTCAGATCATTCATATGCTAAATGTATCCGCCTACGCTAAGTCTTTGTTCTCATTTTCTCACCACCAATATTGGGGACATAAATATTGACGTCAATTACTGTCTACCAACTTTGGCTAGCAGCCAGCTCTCACCACAAATCCACAGCAGCTCTTATCTTAAAACACAATGACTTCCCCCGAAATGCCGAGTGATCTTAAGTATTGCCATTAAATGGTTGGAGGCAATCGGCCAGGAAGACGGACTTAGGTTTCGGGCTTGTTGGCATACACTAGTAAGCAAGGCATATCTGAAACCCTGAAGGAATTCATTTCCCTTCTGAGATCCGAACCCTCATCACCCATTGCCGCAGTCACAGAAGTTACCACTGAGTTATTCGGGCTCGCGATTGACCTCCTGTAGGACTGTATTGGATACTTTGATTGGAAACTTGTAACCAGTGTGATGTGTCTAGTCCTTTGTTTGGTGCAGACTGAATTCTATCAGTCGTGTTTACAATATGTCCACACCATGCTAGTCGGCTAACCATCACGGTGCACTTTGAATTGTTGATATAAGATGGTTGGAGGAAATCGACAGGAAGCCTTTGACCTACGTTTCGTACTACATTTAACACAAGTACCAGTCATGGCAATCTCAACTGTCTTATGTTCCTAATGACTTTACATTTTATATGCATTTAAATGATAATCGAAATTAACGGACTATTATTCCATCTTGTACTTGTATGGCAAAATATTTTTTAATGTAAGTTTGGTTTGCCTTTTTACTGGCTACTACCATATAACATTTACGAATTTATAACCGTGGAGTTTGAAAAAGTTAGTTAAATCAATATGTAAGTCCCCCTGACACCTATACTTTCGATGATCAACTCGCTCCAACATAAGGTGGCACGTTGGCTTGCGGAGAAGTTGGAACCTATTCGTCAACGGCTAGGCGCGCACACAATGAAAGGCTCATTTCATTTCTCTGAAAGTTTGAACCACATGAACGTTTTTAATAAGTTCATGGTGTCACTTGATGTAACCTCCTTGTTCACAATGATTCCAATCAACGAAACTATTGAGATCATTTTTCAGCAGTCTGATCTTCTCCCAGTGCCAGAGTCGGAATTCAAACGCCTACTAATAATGTCTACCATGGATGTGCAATTCCAGTTCGACAAAACTCTTTAACGCCAAATAGATGGTGTAGCTATGGGCAGTCCATTTAGCCCTCTTTTAGCAGATATATTCATGTCCAACCTTGAAAGAACAAAGTTGAAGCATGCAATGGACGAAACAACCTCCTATTGTTGATGTGTTGATGACACATTTATAGTGTGCAAAAATGAAAGTCATGCTTCACACTTCCTAAGATTATTCAATGATGCGCACGCCAATATTGAGTTCATTATGGAACGGAAAGTTTCACTTCCTTGACATCGCCATGGAACGCCTAGAAGACGGTAGTCTTCAAAAGTCAATATATCGAAAGTCTACATGGAAAGAACAATACTTACATTTTAATAGCTTTTGTCCAAATAACTTTAAACGTGGTCTAGTCAAGACTCTGTACTATGGAGCGAGGAGAATATGCTCTATAGAGAAATTAGATAAAGAATTTTAGTTTCTTGAAAAGACACTGAAGACCAGTGGGTACCCTCAAAGGTTCATCAACAAGTATAGAAGATCTGAAGTCACGAATGACAAACAAATCACAGTAAGAAAAAAGCCAATCTATTTTCAGCTCGATTATAATGGTGAAAACATTCCAGCGATGATCAACAGAAGGCTGAGCACATCACTAGCCATAGCCTATCCTGCAGCTAAGCTCGTTCCCGTCTATCGAACAACTTGCTCTTTGATGCAATCAAAAATCGATAGATATCCTTCTTATGTTAACTCCAACTGTATATACAAATTTACATGTATCTGTGGAAGCAGAAGAGCATATCTACGATTTTCGGAACATGTAACAAAAAGCTTAAATCTAAAGGGAACAAATGCTTTAAGCAATGCCATCGCCAAGCATCTCCTCGACACAGGTCATGAGGTGGACGTCGAAAAGTCATTCAAAATTATCAATAGGCAAAAGAGCTCAATTCTCCTTAAGTTTGCTGAAGTCATTTCCATCAAGCGCCTGAAACCTGATTTATGCGTTCAGAAAGAAGCGGTTATGAGTCTTTCTTTGCCCAGATAACTGGATATTTTTCATCCGAAGGTGAGATGCTGAAAATTTTTCATTGTGTATGATTATTATTGTTCGGAATTGTGTTTAATATTGCATGTATATATGTATATATTATTAGTGAATGGATGTATTGATCGATTGATTTTTGTTTAAAATCAACTCTGTGCAAGTATGTTAAAATTGTTTTTGTAGATACACTTAATAATGTCTTTGCCCTGTAAGCAGCTGAAGAGAAGGCAAAGAAATAAAAGATGGTACCATTTTATTCTGCTAAAACTGTAGTTTTCGCTTTGTTCAATATGTAAGATATTTGTACTTGGTTTAATTTGCACTTCTACACGATTGATTATGTTGGCTACGAGGACAGAGACTTCGAAAATGTTTGAAGATTAACATGATACAATTTCGGTTTATGGTGACTAGCAGTGGAATACATGTTACCTATTTTGCACCTAGCACTAACCCATCCCTAGTGAGTGATGGTGTCCCCCCAGTAAGACTGAGACCTCTCACCCATTCTTTCAAACGTCCAATGGGCCTAAAGGCATTATCAAATCGAATTATTCATTCACTAATTCATTAGATTATAATAAAAACTACCCAGTATGGTGGAAAGTTGGATGGTTCTAAGCGCGACTTACTAGCACATACTCAAACCATTATTCACACACAAAAATGCATTACTTTCTATTAATAACCCCAAATTTGGCTGCCAACACAAAATCCTATGAATAAATTGAAGGAAAAGGAATTTAACTTAGTGTTTTTTAAAATTTGAATTACTATAAGATCATTACAGATTTAATGAAAACTTCAAAAGTTATTTAAACAATATACATGATTCAATACACTTTTGTTTTAAATTTTGTTTGTTGAGTAAATAATCAGAATTATTCGCTTTTCGAGTGTCAAGAAGAGAAAATCACGCATAAACGCTTAACTACTTGTAAAGTATTAAGTAGTCACCCTTTCAGTATACTGCAGTTTTCTGGCTTCTCGTGCAATCAGCATTCTATTCAAAATTAACATTCTTCTCAACGCATTCATTAGCTCCAGCAACACAATCACCCTCTAAAGAAGTATTCTCGAGGACTTTATGTGGTGTTTGTTCATTTGAGGTACATGATAAACCTTGTTGTCTAGCTGAAGCTAGAACCCATACATTGACATCACGCTCCAGTTTATGAGAATCATAGTACGTACGTACACTGAGACAAGTTTCTTTACCAAATAAGGTACTGAAAATAGAAAACGAAAGAAAAATAGTTAAAGTAAAAATTAATCACCTGTCAAACTGATAAAAACATGAGACTATGTGAACTCTGTCAGACATTTTGCATTCTAATATTTTTGCAGTTCGCTTCAATAACTTCTCATCATTCTACTTAACCAAATTGCTGTCAACAAATTTAGGCAGAGGTGAAATGGAAAGAGGTCTACTGAGGTGAGACAAGAGTTCGTCTTTAAATGCATAAATGTTTCATGACTGAATTAGGTAATTTGCTGTGCAGAAGTATCGACTGATATACCTTGATGACTTTTATACTTGTTGTGCAGTAGAGTTTTTCGAATCCATATTTTAAAAATTTTATCAATGTTCAGTGAGAATCATGAACCATTCCCTTCTCACCATCCCCATTTCTACACCAACACTTTTTTATGACGAATTCCTCTGCAAGAAACACTAATATTCATTAATCAAATGCTAGCTTGTTACGGGTTTGTCTGTCTGGCTAAAACGGTTAGTTGAAATCTGTCGATCAGACGTAACATTTGGTCAGTAGACGAAATGACATGATACCACTGTTCTCTTTGATGTATTTTAATTAGATGTGAAGTAGTAAAGAAAAAAAGTACTAGATCTAGGTTTGTACCTGTGGCCTGTCGTCGGCAGGTTGTATTCGCAACCTTCAGGACACATATGACGTCTTCATGAACCCATCGAAGTCTGTGAATGCTAAACAACATAGAAGAATTTCGGGTATATGAATAAAATGTCAGTCTTGTTACGATTTCCAACCCACCTTACTGATGAGTATCGGCATGCATGAAATTCATTTGGAAGATGATCTGTTGATTGAAATCTACTGATCTACATCACCAACGTAGAATAATGTACTTGGCTTAGCAAGTTCATTAAACACTTGACCTATGTGTTTCGGTCAATAGACACGACTAAGGAACTGGGTTAGTTACCATCCATTGGTCAAATTATTTACCTCTTAAGAATTTCGATTATTCGTAATTGTCTGACCGAAGATTTGCCTCTAGTAAATTCGTTTCAGTTAGGCAAATACTTCTGATTATACCTCTGTGTAGACTGGTGACCAATCTGCTAAAATGCACATTGTCTAAATTCCTTACGGATTTGTGTGTATATTTTTATGGAGACATATTTGAACAGGAAAACCACGTGCAGGTAACCTCAAGTATTACCCTCTTCCCATGACACAGATATGCAAAGCAAGTAGAATGGGCCAAGAGAGAAGTTGTCGGAACATTCAATCTACGAATATAGCTAGGCTATAAGTTGAGTGAACCAACCCACTATTTTTCTAAGGTTACAGTATTAACTTGGATAAGATAAAAATGACAAATCTCTGTAGTACGGTTCATCAAAGAAACAGTTTTATAAGATGAAGTCAGTGACTGTTTTTTCTAAGAAAAGATTCAATAACATAGAAGCTTAGAACTGAAACTTCTCAGATGACAAAAATCATATAACAGCTTCTGTATCTAACATAGAACAGATGTACATGAGCAAGAGTTTTTTGAGAAAACTTTAGGTTTTGCATACTTGTTCTGTTTACTCTAAGCGTTATATACCATACTTCAGGTCTTCTCTCGCTTACTGAAATTCGTATCATCTCTCCTTAGGTGAAAATAATTTCCAAAGTAAATTAAACAAAAGTACTGAACTATGCTTCCGGATTTCTTCCTGATTTCCATAACCATCTCTGACAATGAAAATTTACATTCGTTAAGTAACAGTCATGCTCTACAGCAAGTTAGAGAAGTTAGGTAGATACATCAGATTATTTCAGGCTAATTTATTGGATGGATGATAACGTTCCGTTTTCCATTTCTCATCATGGTAGGCTGTCATAAACCAGGAAGAAACAGTACTGCCAGTGTATCTTGCTAACAAATCTTCTTAGTTGGCACGAACCTTTGGTAAAGGTAACAACTACTGCTAGTCCGACAGCTTTATTTCAATGCACGTTTTAAAAACCTTCCGATTCAGAACACTCAGTGAATGTATTCTGTTAAAATTGAAGTTGAAAATGTCACTTACCGAACTGTAAATTTTGGTTCTAACGCCAATGCTTTATTACTTCGAACATGTTTAATCAGCAGTTTCTGATCAGCCTATAATAAAATAAATAGGTAAATCTGGGATCTGGTGCACTAAACATTCATAAAGACATCTACAGATATTCAGGCAATTCATCTAACTGCCGGATCATTGTGACTCGATGTTTCTGAAAATTTGAGTGTTGTAATGCAAGAATGGGAAAAAAAGGTTTTTTCAGATTGACAATTAAATGATTTTAACCACTAACTTATGTCTAGACGTTTTGTTATTCAGCAGTGTATTGATCTTTTACCTTATTAAAGTTTGTGCAATTCACAGTCTTTTAATTCATCCCCTAGAAACAAAACAACCTGAACCGAACACTCCAGAACATTGTTTTTATCATAAAACCATATGAAATGTGTGTTTAAACTTTACTTAACGATGCAGTGATAAGAAAAAGGTCAAATGTAAGTAGTTAATGCGAAGCAGTCGGAGGTGCCCAGTAAGAGAAATTCGTATTTGTCAACTCCAACATTATAATTACATTCATCCTTCCGATGAACAGATATATGCACTAGAAGTTACCGCTTCCGGTGAATATGAGAAATATTTTAGCCTCTAATGTCTCTTAAATTAATCAGAAAATTTCCCATTCCCTGTTGTGATAGTTATCAACAAAAAGTAGAATGAATTCAATTCAAATCAAGATATGTTTTTAAACTTTTTAGCACTCTTTAACTAACTCGATATAGAAGCTTTGTTGAGTATTTCTGAAGGGTTAATTAAAGTAAAATGCATCTGAATTTCATGTTGATGAATTCCATAATGCTTTAGTGAAACATTTCCGATTCTGCTTCATAAACAGAAGTATTTAGATTTAAAAATGTCTTCTCAAGGTTTTTGAAACCAATTTAATTGGCATTATCATGATGCGTTTCGTATACTTTACCTCAAAATCAGCCATAGGGGACAGCAACATTTTACTATTCTACAAAATATATTGACTGCACTATTACAGATTACTTAGGTAACTTGAAAACATGAAACAACCCGTTCACATTCTATATATTTGATTGGATGGAGGATCTCATAATGAGCTGACATCAGTTAGAGAACCATTGGAAAACCTGGGAGTACTGGACAGCTGTTTCGTCCTAGTTTGGGACTCTTCATCTGGAACAGGACCTTCTGGTTACAAGGCGAGCCCGTATACCATTGAGCCACTGGGACCCGATCCAATGGCCAGTGCATGAATTCTAACTTCTGCAAATTCACGACATAGCGCGACCATTTCGCAATGTCTTCTTCGATGAGTTACTGCCTCATCTTCAACCTGCTGTACCCTACTGTATATATATATATATATTTGTCATTTTGTTGCAGCTATGCACTGAAACAAACAAAAAGCTTATACTGGTAACGTCAGTTATAACAACAGGGTTTTTCTCAGTTGAAGAATCTCTACACCATTAGGCTTTCTCTGCACAGAGGGCAATTAATTTTTTTAATATGGATACATATCTCTGTCTTATTACAATTTCATGATAAGTTTTGTTGGTAGCAACAGAATTTTTTGACCTTCACAAAGTAACAATTTATGCTTCTCAGGTGAGTCTATCCATCTCAGAGCTGATGTCTTCATTGAGATGCAAAATTCTAAAATTTTTAAATTAACATTGTTTAGTGATTTTCTGTCCATTGATAATTACACTTGTTTGCGATAAAATTATTATTTTTCAGCTCAAATTTCTTCGATAATTTGTCCTAACTTGATATGATATACTTCTACTTAAATTTCTCCATTGATCAGTTTATATTCTGATGTAAAAGTTTAGTACAGATGGCTTAAAACTATTCAGTCCTAAAATTGGGTACAAATTTAACTTTGTTAATCGGAGAATGCATACACAGATCAGTAAACTGATAGAATTTTACACAACCCCGACTCGCTTTAAATCTGCTGAATGACAGAGTTTCAAAATAGGACTTTGCACAAAAATGCATCAGTTCAAGTTGCGCACTGCATGTAGCACAGAAATGCAGAGTAGAAAGAGATTCAGAAGAACTGTAATTGGCAGAATTGTGCGAGAGAAAGAATAGCAACAAAAAAAGCATGGGTGTTTAATGGATCTGGGGAGATCATAAGGAGTAAATGCATCTGTAGCAGTGAGAACGATTTTGAACTATCTCACCAACAGCCCTAACCATTGGTTCTTGGCCACCCCAGGGACCCAACTAGACAGTTCATCTGGAGATTGAATAATTATACGATTAAACTAGAATACTTTCTTGTTTTTTTCTTCATTTGAAAAGTTGTTTAAACAATGTGTAAATGAAATGAATTTGAAATCCCTTTGTAAGCGGAATTTTACAATTCAATGAGTATAGCGCCAAACCAGTACATTTGAGGATCAAGTAAAAAGCACTGGAGATAAAGGAAGATAAATTGTTGTGCACTCTGCTAACCAATAATAATTTCGTATTACAAGCGCCTAGGGTTTCTGCAATCAGTGACTATAATATTCGTGTGTATTAGCCAATATTTTATCCACATAAAGTATGTTAATAATCTAATGGTCACCTCTTTTCGTAGCGGATTGTTTTATTATAACTATCTATTATTTCCCCCTCCCCCCTTTGAAATTACTAAATTGTCCATCCTGCCATACTCCAAGTTTCACAGTAAGTGACTGGGTTGTAGTTAGTTAGGTATGGTGGAAATGAAACAATGCATCAATCTATGAAGTCACTGATTTCTCCTCTTAGTCAAACAGGGAGGTTTTCATCAAAAGTCAGTAGTCGCAGACTGACGATGCTATGTCTCGAATTCGACCACAATAATGCTGATATATTTAATTCTATCATCTTCAAATCCATGAACAGTCCCACTCTTTGATCTTTCTCCTTTCACATCCATGTTTCTCAAATATAATATTATTTAATTTTTGTTCTCTTATCTTATTTAGATGTACCTTTCTAAATCACGATAACTTGAACTAATCTTCTTCAGCGTTAAGTCCTACCTTGATTCATTATTCTTTTTTCGAGTTCAGTTAATATTTTTAACTTGATGCAATTAAAAAATACATATTTTTCCTCAACTGAGTATATATTATCTCTTCTATCGTATAAATTCAGTGGCAATAATGATTTATCCTCAGTATAATTTTGAGGTATGGCCTCCAGTATTTTAGGAATCCAAATTATGTTTATCAATGAAAAGACTATCAGTGAATATAAATACGTGAATCTGTCTAGAAATCCTGTGTGTAAAAAACTCATTTAAATCGCAAATGTTAAGTTCACTCGAAAAATTAAAACACTGCTTTCCCGTAGTAAATTTAAAATAAGCAACACCGGCGAAAAAAACAGCATTTAATGAATTCATAACTTTCGGTAGGACTAGTCAGCTGAATGCTCCATAAATATCCATTATGGGTAAAATTTATTTTGATAGTCTCACAGTGTTATATACTGATGGCGTTTCGCGCACAATTTGTCGCTCATAATCATATCAAGGTGGTAACCGAATAGCTCAGTGGTAACGTCTCTGACTGCAGCACTAGTTGACGCGGGTTCGAATCTCAGAAAAGACATGAGTTCCTTCAAGGTTGCAGATACGCCTTGCTGACCGTCGAGTGCCAACTAGCACGAAACCTAGGTCCAAGGCTTCTTGCCGATTGCCTCCAACTATCTAATATCATCACAATCAATGTGCATCGTGATGGCGAGCTACCTAGAATGGTGGTCACATTACAACCTGACTGATAGAATTCAGTCTGCACCAAAGAAAGGACTAGACGCATCACACTAGTTACTAGTGTCAAATCAAAATATCCAATACAGTCCTACAGGAGGTCAATCGCGAGCCCGAATAACTCAGTGGTAACGTCTCTGACTACGGCACTGCGTGACGTGGGTTCGAATCTCAGAAGGGACGTGAATTCCATCAACATTTCAGAGACACCTTGCTGGCGAGTGACAACTAGCACGAAATCTAGGTCTAGACCTTGATATGATTATGAGCGATAAATTGTGCTCGAAACGTCATTAGTGGATGCTACTGTATAACACTGTGAGACTTTATCAAAATAAATTTTACCCACAATGGAATTATACTCTACCACAGTGCACAAGTTTTATTCTTATATCTCCACAAATGTCGTCATTATCACTCACCGTTTATAGATTATATATTTGTTGAAACTGATACATACTTTTTGTCACAATGTTCATGTATTTGTATGTATTTGATCTTTAAAAAACTGTATAAATGACAATGTTTGCAGAGGATTCCTACCGAAATTTACAAATTCATTAAATACTGTTCTTTTGACAGTTGTTGCTTGTTTTAAATTCACTTATTGTTTTCCTTTATGTAAAATGGCATAGATTACTATTATCAGATTGACACGTGAGATTCACTTCACAACTTCCTCCTAATCAGTATTCACATAGTACAAATGAATCTATAGAAACAAAAATTATTCTATATAACATACAGTCCTTACTGAAAAAGTACTGACCTCCTGTGTCTAACACCATAAACAGATTAAACTTCAAATACAATTTAAAGTCAGCAGGCTTTTAAAATAGTTTTTTTCTCACACGTACTTTAACAGGTCTACCTTCAAATTCTCTCCTTAAATGTGGATCTTCATATTCTAGCCGCCATTGTGATAAAAATGTTGGTGTGCCAACTTCAAAAAATAGATCTTGTGCTTCTGGTTGCAAATTCTGATCACCTAAGTGTTTTAAATCACTGGCCAAAAACAAAAATTGATCTCTGATCAATTTATTCTGTAATTTGGGAGGGCATTTTGATGAAATAATGTCTGGTTGTAAGGCTAAAACTATTGGTTCACCATAACGAATTACTCGGCCATTTTGATTCTCGCGTAAACTTTATAAATAAACATAAAAATCAATAAATAAAAAGTTTTAATAAACTATTATCAGTGTCATAAAGTAAACCAAGATTTGAAATACCTATGAAGTGTATCATGAATATTTCACATGTATCATCTTTATTACGGATAGATACAGGCTCCTGGTCTTATGAGACAAAAGATGTATGTTTCTATTTATGTGACCATTAAGTATGTCAAAAATTAAAGGTGATGTAGGAAGTTCTTTCTTAGCTACCAAAACGTTTTGACTTGCTGTTTTTTTGTCTCGTCCTTATTGAAAGCCTGTCTATGTAAGTTAATGGTCCTTTATAACTTGACACTTACTTCTTATGCTTTTGTTTATATTGCTTTTTCTCTGTAAACCCAATGTATAAATAACTTGTAGGATTATTTGAACCCCTCCTTTTCAGGAAAGACAGATCATGATAATAGGAATTTTTCAATAATTTCTCCTCAAACTTATAATTAAATTTAGAAATCACTTCATTTAGCATTTGAAACAATTATGCGTAGCAAAATTCATACTCATTTATAGGAGTAATTAAGGTGAAAAGCAGAATAGCAGAGTTATACAAGTATTTCCTGAATCATCACCATAATTCATTGTAGATTTCTGGTAAGATTACATATGCGTGTAAAGTTAAGTGGATGGGGGAGGAGAATAAATGTCTAATAACAGTCATACGAAAACTATTTGACTTTTTGGTAAACTGTGGACCTTAAATCGGAATAAACAAGTAATAGACAAAAATGAAAATGGTAGTATTGATTATGCTACAAACGGAAATTGCATTTATAATGTTCAAAATATTACCTCTCTAAGCCAGAAATAATGCTGGTAAAGAGGAAAGGTTGGGCATGAGGCTAGCAACCCCATCCTGTAAAATAAACACTGCTACAGAAACTTCAAGCCACTGGCTTGAAGCCCTATGTTCCACTGGGGAACGTGAAGGAAAAAAAAATGTTCAAAATAAACCAGGGAAGAAAAGTGTCACAAATTTATCTGGGTCGAAAATAAAGGCTATGAAAGATAGAATGAACCAAGGAAACTCTTTATCTGAACTAAATGGATTATAAAAACCTAATGGCTACTGTGCTTGACATGCAAATAATGCTAGTGTATATAGGATGACAGAGGCTTGTGATTCATAGTCATTAAATAGAAAACCTTCTGCGAATTCACTGTAATTTCTATTCAGTAACACTAGGCGTTGATCAGAAATCAGTTCCATGCAATCAAAATGGCCACTTTTTGGAAGTATGCACTCTGTGATTTTGTATTCTTCAAGATGCTCACAATTTGTAGAAGGCATCTCCACTCTTTCATGCTTTTTATTTCGAACACTAGAGTTTGAGTGAAATGTAACAAAAGGTTTAAGTAATACGGTACTGCACCTAACTTTATTATTCGTCATATACTTTAGTGTTTTAAGTATCCCTTTGCAAGTATTTGACGAGTTAAATACCTGCATAATCAACTATTTTAAATTATAGTACTACAGTATCTGAATTCAGTATTATATGTTATAGGTTACTTCATAAAGGGAACAGAAAATATCTTAATATCCCCGACAATTCTTGCTGATTGGAGCTAACGAAGTATAAATTTAGCCTCGACATTTCGTCACTGTCGAATGATGAAGTTGTGCTGTTATGTTCTGTTGAGAACTCATAAGTTGGCAAAGAGACCTCTTTTCGTAACTTCAAATCAAAGATCTAAAGTTGTTTAAGGATTTATGTTTGCAATGTCAACTAACAACACGGATCAGAAGTGACTGTCATTAAGTAACAGAATAAATCAAAGTATATGAGAAATAGTTGTGTTCAGAAAGTGGTGAATAATCTAACATGTTCTGGAGAGTTAACAAATTACTAGTTAAGTGATGAATAATCATTTGGAAATAATTAATAGAAAAATGATAGAATAAAGGATTGTAAATGGGTTATAAAAGATGAAGCGATTGCTTAAAATTTATTATACTACAATTCAGGAAAATAAGGTTGACTCTAACTCCAGGACGGAATGAGAGGAAGGATAAAACGTTTCTATACACAAAGTTCAGCTTTTTCCTTGTGAATTACTATAGCTTCAGTTGCATGAAGAGGAGGTAATCGAAATCATATTGAACGGCCTTCACGTACTTCATATGTGACTCCAACCAGAAGTAATAACACTCCGGATTTGAGCTTTTGACCGTTCTGAGTTCTCCTTTCAACGACCACACTGTTAAGTGCTTACTGGAGTACCTAGACAATGTCGTGCTGGTACGGGCTATGTACTAAGCTCCACAGGTACAAGCAAATCGGTGAGTGCAAACAGAAATTACCGACATTGGGATCTTGTTTTTGACGTTTTGGTGAACAACTGCTTGTGTGAGGAAGAAACAGTGTAGAGATACAGCAGGGAACGCTCTTTAAGTTGTTCTAGTCAGTGGATTTCGGAGAATGTATCTCCCTTTGAATTTTAGATTAAGAACTGGTTGTTTTCTAGGTACATTTAGGTCTCACGGAGTATTGGTCTTTTTATTTAGATGTTTTTTCGATTAAGGAGATCAACTAGAGTCTTTCTGAAGGGTCCCAGTTCCTAGCCCTATGTATCATCGGTACATATGCAATGGACTCTCATCGCAAGACAAGAGATGAGACTTATTTGTCTGCTTACTGGAAGATAACTGTGAACGCCTATCAGCTGCACAATGGTAAGTTGATCTTCGATCCTCCCAACAAACTGCCATGGGTCAGAAACGTAGGCACCCGTTTTCCCTGAAGATATGTATTTAAGCAATAACTTGAAAATATAATGAAAAGCGATAATTAGAATCAGAGGACAATATTAAGTAATACCAAAATATAATTATTGTTGAGTATTCTGTAAGAAATGCAAAAAATGGGTGATGAGCAGAGTATACAAAGTGAAAGTGAAGTATTAGAATTGCTTCCAGTGTGCACAAGATAATCAATCATTTTGGGTTTCCTAGGAAAGAAGTTAACTAAGAGTGTGAAAGTAATTGCCCACGGAACCAAAGCGTTTATAGCCACAGTTTTAGTAGAAAAGCGGTTCGAATAAAGGTGACTTATTTTGTCAGTTGCAGGGATTTTCGTTGCAAAAAGACGATGTGAGCGAAAATGATTTCAGCAGATTGGCTTAAAATCACGTGTCGCTTTGAGCAACCCTCATATTCATTGTGAGTATCAAAATATGATATGTATGAAATGGAAGCTGTTAGATGCTATGGTTTCCACTTCTGACGGGTATCACTGAGCATTTTTTGTCAATACCATACTGGTATGGTCTGTTCATAAATGTTTCAGATTTTAATGGATACATAAAGTGAATGTAAACATGCCAAACCAACCGATTCCAAAGCATTTAGTCGAAAGACTACGAACTTAAATACTTAGTAGCAATGGCTCAGTACCGTCATTTTTGATGGCATTACTCTGTGGTAGTTTCTAACCAACCAGCTACAGGACAAGTACTCTGTAACCTATTTCAAGATGAGCCAAAATAGTTAAAAAACATAGAAGCCGGGTCTGTAAGTAAAAGCCGGGATACTTTGCACCGTTGATTGGATTTTAAAAGTTACTATGACTATTGTTGAGGTACAGTGATATATTCAAGTAGAAAACCTACCACAACACTTTGAATATATTTTTAGGCGAAGGTTGAATATTCTTGGAAGCTGTCACATTAAGATAACCGTTTCTGTCTATAAATTTGAAAAAGTTATCGTCGCAATTCGAAATTTCCAAGTTTAAGTTGCATGAAAAATCCACTGAAAGACTGACTACGTGAGGGTCACGTGGGGATGAAAGTCCATATTTCACATAATATGGAGACGATCCTGTGTTAAGAATCTGAATGTTTGAGCCAAACCTGAGATATCCATCTGTAGCCATTGCAGAGCAATCAATCTCCATCTATTACAAGTATCAAACAAAAGCCTACCAGATTAGGATCACTTTCGGAAATCAAATTCAGCAGGCGTGTTGATGAAACATGACCTTCTTCCTTGTTTAAATGTGCACTTCTCCCCTCCTGAATCAGTTGTAGATGATAACATATGTGTTACCTTCTCAAGAACCCTCTCTTCGAACCAGTTACCTAGTAATACACCAGGATTATATGTCTTGTACTGAAACATTTTAAATGAGCAACAGCTGCGTTGCTGTAGTAACCAGTTTCTAGAACAAGGTCGGCCAATTAGTTCAAACAAACAGGTTGCTGAACTAAGGTTAATGGCTTTTATTTAAATACAATAGGTATTGATTCATAAATTCTCTACATTTCTACTTAGTCAGTAGTTTTTTAAGCATCAAAAGTTATCATTTTTCGGATTCTGATATTTGATTCATTTCATTGGATGATTTGTTCGAGATGTGCAAGCAACTGTCTCCCAGAGTCGGTTAATGACTCAGTAGAAGAACAACTACTGCATAGCCATATAGTTTCTCATTAGCTTTTTAAATTCCCTGCAAGGTCTTATAATACGGTCCCAACTGGTGGAAAGGAAGTAAGAGACAGATCAGGTCCTTAACAATTTCTAGAAATTTGAAACAACCATAATAAGTCTCTTTTTGCCTGCAGAACAACAATAAGCAGTGATTCCACCATTAATTCATCCCTAGGATAACAGGTTGGTCAAACCAGCAGTCATCAATGTGTTCTTTCTTCTCACACTTCCCAGTATATATTAGAAGCCCATCAGTCAAAACCTGGCTACCTGGCTTCAGTTTCGCATTATATGACCCTACAAGTAAAGGCACTAAGTATGGCCTATAGAAATGTGATTCCGCGAGCTGTTACTGAGTAACGATGTGCTGTAGCCTTTAAGTCATGAATTGCTAAGATAGCAGGATTGATAGACATCTGTACTGAAAGGAATAGTTTCCTCCCACCACCTCCCACATGTACTCAGCTCAGAAGCTTTCCCGATCTTCATAGTTGCTCACTTCGCTAGTTTAAATAGGAGCATCTCTACTTTGAACCCAAATAACAGATTTCTGAAATACATTTGCAGCATCACCATTCCACTACCTTTCCAAATTTCCCAGCCACCCACGTAGATAACCGTAGTAGGTTTTCATAGCTCAGTTAATTCAATAACGCAGAGATAAGCAGACTGTGACGTAACGCCTTTTGGAAAGTGAGTCTTGAGTCGATACTGACTCTCTTCTTGCATCTGATGGGGAACTCCTTCATCCAAGTGGGGAAGTCGCCTGTGATTTTAACGCTCCCCTGTTTCATTAATTGTCTTGTCTGAAGCACTTTTTGAAGGCTTTACCGAATTCTTTGAACTCCAAACGATTGCGTCTAACTAATCCACGAATTTCTAAGTTAATCAGTGTGAAAGGTTGAGTTTTCGACACTTGTAAAACAGTCCATGAGATGTTGATTTAGGTCACCTACGTGCACAGTTACTTTAATTGTCTCTTTGCAGGTTCCAAATATGACAGCTGACTTAAAGTGCAGTCCTCTGAGTAGACCGCAAAGCACACGGCATTAATATTGGCTTTATGAATATTTGGTCCATATGGTGTTTCTCCCGGATACTGCAGCCGCAGTTAATTTGAATATTGCATGATTACGTCTTCCTAGAGCTGGAAGATATCGCACGTATTTCATATCCTCATTGATAATAAAACCGAGACCAGTGATGGAAATGATCGCTGGAAATCATTAGGCTTGGGTTTCTTGATTTGAGAGGCTACAGCAAATAAAACGTTGGTTTTTAAAAGCTTACGATTAAAAGTATTGTTTGATGATGCGTTTCCTATGTTCTGTGGGTAGTCTGATTGGGTGTTTGAACTGTTGACTATATGGCGCCTACACTTTGATGTCCATCAGACCATAAGCAAACCATCTTCTGTGCAATTGGGACTGCGATAAATTTCAATCAAATCAGTGACATATTTATTGCATTTTTTCTGCAACTTATGCATTTTCATCATCTTATGTTTGTAGTGCCTCTGTGCTACGCACAACTAGGTTATACTCCAGGAAAAATGACTACTTCAGGTCCTCCATGGTTTCTTCAGCCTGTCTCGTACACGATGAACTTTTGTGGGATTTCTGCCTTGTCGCTGATTTTCGATGTTAGCACCATTCTCTAGTGGTAATAATATCCGGATCTTCCTAGTTAACCAGACTGTACAACTCGGAGCATTTCTTCGTGAAACTGTATCTTTGGGCAGCGTAGTAATAGTTCACTTTGTTGCCCCCGTATACCAAACACAGGATCATGTGGATCAGCAGAATTTGACTTTTGTTGGATGCAAGCCACATAAACATTAGGCTTTTCTTGGCACTGTGTCGAGGCTTGATTAATTCCAGTCCAGCAAGTTGTCATTTCATATGATCCGCTACCAGGTATAATTCTGGTGATCTAAAGAACCAAATAGTTACAATTCTTTAATGACTTCCAGCTCTTTTCCGGTCGCCTTCAACTAGAAATAACACTCACGATTGTTGTGTGGCCGTCTAAACTGTTAGACATCAGCTTTAGCCTTCTAGCCTGAGCCACCTAACCTGATGGCCAGGTTGTCATTACAGCTGACTCAACTAGATAAACAGACGTAATAATGCACGCGCTTCGTGTAGGACGTTACAATCTCTTCATATAACGTGGAAATAATTTTTCCCATTCTGGAATATCGTGGTCTATATTTGACTACTATACAATTATAACTGATATTGGTTGCACCTTCGGTAGATAAATATCCAAATTTATTACCGCCAGAATACTCTTAGAATCCAGTCAAATTCGTGTGAATAAAGAGCAATCTATCACAAAAGAACTATAGAGAAGTCCTTAGTTTTGTGGTTTATAATTATCAGAGTTAACTCGTTTGACAGTGGTCTATTTTTAGCTTGTATTTTATACCTTCATACCTGTTTATCGTTGTTTTATCTATTTAGATAATATAATATCATATAATGTCTTAGGATATAACATACCAGACAATGTCCATATTGTCAAACTTAAAGCAGTCTGCCTACAGGCGTGCAACATTTCACTATCTGACTGCCAGGTTCTGCGTCTTTGTAAGAAATCTGCAAACCACCCATGCCCTGTACTCTTCAAATTTAAGTCTGTTGACCTAGCTAGGAAATTTTTGTAGTCTGGTAAAATTCTCGGCTCCTCAACACCCTACACCAATATCAGGATTGTACCTGATTTAACTCCTTGCCATAGACGATGCTGCACAGGTAAACTAAATGAAGATAACTCCAATAAGACAACCGTTGTTAATACTTCCCTCGTTGGATTGCCTAATGATCAGTTCCATCACAATTGACGTTCCTACTTTGGGAGAGGAGTTTTCATCTTTCGTCAAGAGCGGTAATTTGTGGTTAGTTGTCTTCTTTCAACTTCTGCGAGAAACGACATCCCGCCATCTGTTTAATTTATCTTTGGTTATGACCATCTGTCTTTCACCTGAGTCTTGTGCGTGGTTAATTCTATAGTGGTGGACTATTGTAGTAGGCAGACGTCTAAAACTGCGCCTTCTCCACTTCTATGGATAAGGCCTTTAGAGGCTGACGCTTTGACTTTCACGGATAGTACGAAGTATACTAACGCAAGATATGATACCCACAACTTCTATAGTATTCGTTCCGCGTAGACCAAACGCAAAACAAAACACCAGAATTGATCGTCCAAATTAAGAGATATATTTCAGGACCAAATCGGAGTGCGAGATGATTGCTTATCTAGCTAGGGATCGTGCACGAACGAACGAACGAACGTGACACGGCGGTGTACCAAATGGCGTGGATGCTTGACCGTAAGCCTTCAGCTAAACAAGCTGACTTAAACAGTGAGGGTCAGCATCTAATGTTCAGTGATGAATGCTGTGGTCAATAATTTTGGGGAATTATTTACCGCCACAGTTCACTCACCCCTAGTGTGAGGGCCCTAAGACTGAACCAGCCGGAAGTAAAAATAAACTAAATGGTTCCCCATCCGTAAAAATCTCTTCCGAGTAGCTAGGTGGAGTGCCAACTGGTCGTCTACCTATGCTAATAGGGTGTCTGTACATCGCTTCGTTGATGTATTTCCGTTGGATCTCGTGCTTCGTTTGCTTCTTGTTCAGTGCCCATCGCACCTGTAAAAGGAAACAAGAATACTAAGAACCTTGTTGAGGAAAATGTACCAAAAATAACGTTTGAAAATTGATATTCATCTACCATACAGTAAAATAATGCGAAAAATTGAACATAGAAAAAGGTATGTGTCAAGGAAATTAACCCTAAGTTCCTATTGTTACGAAGACGCTCTGAAGCGATAATTACCACGACTGATTCTCGACGTTAACTCCAAAACACCAGTGGTTGTAAGAAGGAAGTTGTATTATTTGGTAATTAAAATCGGGGTGAGTACATAGTCAATAAACAAATGTTTTATAATAAACATGCTGTACTTTCATTCATATTCTTTCGTCTTCTTCCAAATTGTACACTATTGAACCATTCGCGCCTTCGAGTTGCCCGCCAATGGCGACCAAGGCCAATGAACTAACGTTCAATGTTCATATTCCTTAACAGTATATATCTAATTGTTTAGTGGATGTGACATATAGAAAAGTCTTAACTTGTGCTGAGGGATGCAGTATAAAAATTGATGTGTCTGAAAAAAGAAAAATAATAAATACCGCAAACGAATAAGAGTTGGGTGAATCGCATCACTTTGTTATGTGATATAAGTGTGAAGATGTTCAGGGAATCTCACGTTTCGTCCGAAACGTGTTTCTTTGAGGTCTCCACAGAAGGTTAAGTGGCTTTCGCCATGCTGGTGATTTCTTCGAGGGCTAACGGATATTCAGTTACTTGTGTATTATTAAGAAGGCTCAGCTGTAGGCTAATACGATTGCCTTCTAAGTAAGCCGGTTTCAGACAGTCGATGCTGACGGTGTCTTCGCGGCCTTTTTTGTCTAAGACAAACAATTTATCCGGACGTTTGATGGCTTTATATGGTCCGTCGTATGAGCGTTCCAGAAGGCGACGCACAGAGTCACAACGAACAAATACATGGGAAGAAGTTTTCAAAGACGGGTGAACAAAGACCTCCATGGGCTGTGGTCGAAGGGGAGCAGGTTTATTTGAACACATTGCATTTATAAGCCTGCTGACGTTTGAGGCGTGATCTACCGCTGGTGAGAAACTCGGGGG